GGTGGTAAATGCTCTGCAGAGAGGGCAGTGGAGTCCTGGTGATCTTCTCAACAGTCTTTACCACTCTCTGCAGGCACTTGCGGTCCATAGCAGTAGTGCTGCCATACCAGACAATGATGCAGCTGGTCAAGATGCTCTCAATGATGCAGCTGTAGAAGTTGCAAAGGATTCTAGGCGACATGCCAAACCTCCTCAGGAAGTACAGTCGCCATTGGGCCTTCTTGACCAGATGTGTGGTGTTAAGTGTCCAAGTGAGGTCCTCACTGATGTGGACACCCAGGTATTTGAAGCTGCTCACCCTCTCCACTTCGAGCCCCCGGATGAACGGTGTCGATGACTTCTCCTCTCCTTCCTCATGTCCACTATCATCTCCTTCGTCTTGTCCGTGTTGAGGCTATTTAGCTTTATTCTGAAAATTCTGCACCATTCAAATGAATGAAAAAATTCTCCTTCAGCATGCTTTCAGCTATTTCATGTTCAGCTCCTCAAGAACATTCATGCTTCTATTCAGACATTTTCTCAACTTCATACTTTTGAAATATGTAGCTTTATTTTGAAAGTTTTGCACCATTCAAATGAATAGGACAATTCTAGCTCAGAATACTTTCAGCTTTTAAAATGTTCAGCTCTTCAAGGACATTCATGCTTCTATTCAGAACCTTTCTAAACTCCATATTTCTTCAATATGTAGCTTTATTGTGAAAGTTTTGCACCATTCAAAAGAATAGAGAAATTCTACTTCAGCATACTTTCAGCTAGGAAAACCATTCAGGTGTCAAAGTCTTCAGCATATTCAGGGCGATCGTTCAGCAATTCGCGTCCACACGCATTTTTGACAGGAAATGCAGTTTTCTCATTATCATTCTGGTTTCTTCCATCCGTTTTTTGGCACTTAATTCTTTCAGCATACTTTCAACTACAAAAGCCAAAACACACACACACACAAACACCTACACACCCACAAACCTGCTTGTTTTACCTACTTTTTGGGGACCAGCGGGAATATATTTACTTTTTAATAAGTTCAGCATACTTTCAGCTCCAAAAGCCATTCAGGTGTCAAAATGTTCAGTTTTTAAGGACATGTGTGCTTGTATTTTTCTTGTTTGTAACATTTAAACTTTTTCATATAATTAGCATTTTTCAACAAATCTTGCCCCATTCAAATGAATGGGGAAATTCTACTTCAGCATACCTTCACAGCTATCAAAATGTTCAGCTTTTCAAGAACAGTCATGCTTCTATTGAGATTTTTTCTAAACTTCATACTTTTGAAATATTTTGCTTTATTTTGAAACTTTTGCCCCATTCAAATGAATGGGAAAATTCTACTTCAGCATCATTTCAGTCTATCAAAATGTTTAGGTCTTCAAGGACATTCATGCTTCTTTTCAGAAGTTTTCAAAACTTTATACTTTTGAAATATTTAGCTTTATTTTGAAAATCTTGCTCCATTCAAATGAATGGGAAAATTCAACTTCAGCATAATTTCAGCTATCAAAATGTTCAGCTCTTCAAGGACATTCATAGAACTATTCAGGAGTTGTCTAAACTTCATACATTTTAAATATTTAGCTTTATTTTGAAAATCTTGCCCCATTCAAATGAATGGGAAAATTCTACTTCAGCATTATTTCAGCTATCAAAATGTTCAACTCTTCAAGGACATTCATGCTTCTCTCCAAGATTTTTATAAACATTATACTTTTGAAATAGTTAGCTTTATTTTGAAAATCTTGCCCCATTCAAGTGAATAGGGAAATTCCAACTTCAGCATACTTTCAGCTTGCAAAAGCATTCAGGTGTCAAAATGTTCAGCATTTTCAGGGCGATCTTTCAGCACTCAGCATCCACACGCATTTTCTTCAGAAAATGCAATTTTCTAGTTATAATTATTTTTTGCAGTATTATTAGTGTGGATGCTTGCAACTTTTTTATAACTTTTATACTTTTTAAGATATTCAGCTTTTTTTACAGACATTTCCCCATTGGAAATGAATGTGGCAAAGTTGGAAGCTTAATATCTCCAGCATACCTTGGGCTAGAAACGCCATTTCAACTCGATTCAACTTGTGAGACATTCAGCTACAAATGGTGCAAAAATCATCTTGATATCTTTTATGGTTTCTTTATCATCGACATTTATATTTTGTTTATTTGCCCATAGACAATGAATGGGCCAATACTCCACCATGCCATTGGTTGCCTGTGTGTCACGTGACTCTCCGTGACTCTAGCAGCGTTCTCTATGCTTTTACTCTTACTGCTTATGTGCTCCTATTATGCCATTCTTAAGCTTTATACACATATAATAGATGACAATCGTAGAGAAAATTGTCATCAATTCAGCTGTCAATATTATTGAGATGGGACGAAAGGTATTTGCTTAAGTCGCACATTCTAGCACATACCGTCTCACTACTCCATAGACTTGCAGTCTAATCAGCGCTTCAGAAGATCAGGTGAAAGGAAATGTCGGGGTATTTATAAATCGCCACGGTTCCTTCATTTTATTTAATATATTGGCCGCAGAAGAGCTACAATCTACTGCCTCTGTCGCTCCCTGTCTCTTTCTGCAGACGCAGCTGGACATTTAGGAGCGGCTCAGATGCGCTGACACCGCCAGTTCGCTTTGTGCTCCAATTATGCCCTTCTTAAGTTTTATACACATATATTAGATGATAATCGTAGAGAAAATTGTCACAAATCCAGCTGTGTTATTATTATAGCATGGTATGAACGGTATTTGCGTAAGATGCACATTCCAGACAGTACGGTCTTATTGCTCATAGTCTTAGTCAATACAGAAGATCTGCTGAAACAAAGCGTCGGCATATTTGTAAATCATAACTGTTCCTTCATTTTGTTTAATCTTGACATAATACAACAGTGGAATAACACAACAAAGTGCTGTATATAAAACTTATTGCAGATGTCACCTTTGCTCCTCGCCGCGTCTCTCCCTCTCTGTCTTTCCGATTTGCAGTCAAATACACTGGAAGGAAAACGTCTTTGTAATTATAAAACGCCACGGTTCCTTCAGTTTGTTTAATATCATGACATAATACAACAGTGTACTAACACAACAGGGTGCTGTATTTGTTTGAAACTGAATGCAGAAATGCACGTTTGCTCATCGCCGCCTGTCTCTCGCTCCCCTGTGACTCTCTCACAAGGAGCTTACAGCCGATTCTTGTCAACTCTATTCAACTCGTGAAAAGTTGAACCTTAATATCTCAGGCATACCTTGGGCTAGAAACGCCATTTCAACTCTATTCAACTCGTGAGACGTTCAGCTACCAATGGAATGCAACAATCATCTTGATATCTTTTA